AAAAAAAAAAAAAAAAGAAAAGAATGGGGATAAATGACAGTCCCCACATTTAAAGTATTGGAGACATTCCATTGATTTGGTCCTTGTAAAGCACTTCACCAGGGGCCGGACATGGGGAGGGTGGCGCCTGCCACTGGTGTGTGCCTCCTCATTCCCTGGCTTCCCGCATGGGCCTCACACCAGGTAGGCCCCAGGTACCCAGGGGCCGGCAGCTTTAGGATTGTTATAACATCTCCCAGTGGTGCAGGACCCAGGCCATCAGGAGCAATTTATGGTGGCTTTATTGTTCACCCACCTCACACAGACCACCACATGGTCACAGCAGCATAACTTGTAAGAGACCTAATTTGGCCTGGCACAGTGGCTCATGCCTATAATCCCTGCACTTTGGGAGGCTGAGGTGGGTGGATCACTTGAGTCGGGAGTTCGAGACCAGGCTGGCCAACATGGTGAATCCTCATCTCTACTAAAAATACAAAAATTAGCCGGGCATGTTGGCAGGAGCCTGTAATCCCAGCTACTCCAGAGGCTGAGGCCGGAGAATTGCTTGAACCCAGGAGGTGAAGGTTGTAGTGAGCCGAGATCGCGCCATTGCACTCCAGCCTAGGTAACAAGAGTGAAACTCTGTCTCAAAAAAAAGAGCCCCAACCTGGAAACTGGCCAAGCATCTAGCTGTGGGCACATGGATAAACAAAACATGGTGTATCCGTGCAGTCGGGGAGTATTGATCCCTAAAAAGGAAAGAAGGAGGCTGGGCGCGGTGGCTCCCGCCTGTAATCCCAGCACTTTGGGAGGGCGAGGTGGGCGGATCACCTGAGGTCGGGAGTCCAAGGCCAGCCTGGGCAACATAAAATAAAGAAAAAAAGGCTAGGCATGGTGGCTTGCACCCATAGTCCCAGCTACTTAGGAGGCTCAGGTGAGAGGATCGCTTGAGCCCAGGAGGTCAAGGCGTCAGTGGGCTCAGATCTCACCAGTGCACTCCAGCCTTGACAGCAGAGGGAGACTCTGTCTCCAAAAGAAATAAATAAATGGACTCTCACACCGTGCGGCCTTTTGTGTGGGCTTCTTTCACTCAGCTTCATGTTGTTGAGGTTCAGCTGCATTATATCATGTATTGGCTCACTTCTTTTTTTTTTTTTTTTTTTT